TTTCTTTGCAGGCGAACTCGATTGAACAAGTCGAGTGTGTGGAATAAAGTAAGCACAAAGGAGTTTGTTTCCTGAAAAACACTCCTTTCGAGCCTGCAAACATTTTGGCGACCCTGCTCATTGGTATAATCAAAGATCTAACACACTGCTCGTTTCACTTCGAATATTGCCGTAATCACGACAAGCATTTTGGTTCTACGTTTCTGCGCCAAGATGGGTTTTATGGAATGAGACGTAACGAGATGCTTGGTAGTGACAGTTATATAATCTCTGTTGTCTGATCGCCCTCGTGAACCGTTATGGTGACCCGTTAATTCGTGTCACCATCGCTACACGGCCATAAATGCGGACCGAAGATAAATTAATGCAAAATAACGCGCGCATTTGGAACTGATCTGTTGATATTACTAATACCCAATACGTATAAAGCTTTCTTAAAACCTTGGAATGTTGTTAAATGAAAGGAAAAAATTAATTTGCTGTATTGGTTTTCTCTTCTCCTTGAAATCCTTAATTTTCGCCCGGAAAAATCACTAGGAAATGTGCATATACGTGTCCAGCGATTTCCCGCCACTAGAACCATTAAGGGGTCCCATACCTAGAATTCCTGTTTAAATAGTCTAAGTCAAAATTGTTGGCACACTTTACTGTCTTCTTACCAACCCAATGTTGGTGTGCAAGATTGGGTGAGTTAACTGCGATAAACAACATTGAAAGGACAAGAAGACGGGCCAGAAGTGAAAAAAAAAAAAACAAAACAAAACAAAAAAATAGCGTTGGGTGGAAGAGTCCCAGCTATTTTTGTCTGACACTGTAGCTCTCAAATTGTGTGGTAGTTTGCCTCATATCTTGAAAGTCGGTATCAAGTTACACCTGTTGAAAACTGCCAGTCTCTTCAACAACAGGTTTCTGTTTGGAGTACCCCAAGGAAACATCCTTGGACCTCCTCTTTGTTTCATATACGTTAACGACCTTCCCAACTGTTTAGAGTACTGCCAAGTAGACATGTACGCAGACGACACAGTGATTTACTTCAGTGCAAACTGCTGTCAAAATATTGAATACCACCTGAATGCCGACCTTACTAATGTTGCCGAATGGATGAACAACAACTATCAGATCTTATACACCAAACTCGAAGTTCGTGTTGTTTGGTGGTGACAGCAGGTTGAAAACTTGCCAAGGTATGAAGCCTGTCATTGATCACGAAAAAAAATTTCCTGCGTTTGCACGGACCTGGGGTTTCGAAAAGGTGACATCATCGCCTAAATTGCCGAAAGTATCCAGGGAGTATCCAGCGCTACTTGAATTGCGCAGAACAACAACGGAGGCAATCCCATGAAGCCGATCATACCCGGCCAGACACTTCTTACAAAAATTTCTGGAAAGACTACCTGGCGTCGATGTACCTGCACTGGAAGCCTTGGCAGCAGGTGCTTCGGCATGGTGAAATTTGGTAGTAGGTTGTACAGGCGGAACTGGAGAGACATCCAAAGACCGACAAACTCCTCCTGGATGCAGTTGAGGGAAAGCCTACATCTCCTGAGAACAGCCCGATAGCGAGCTCTTGCGCAACCAGCAAAGAGTTCGCACACCACACAACCTAACAACATAGGTCTGCGTAGGTCAACCCGCACAAAACCAGTTTGGCACAATGTTTTTGTTATGTAATGTCACTTAAACTAGGGCATTCGCCCACACTCATCGTTGCTAAAACTGCCAAACATTTAGGCTCTATCAATATACTTTTTGTTTGTTAAAAAGGAAAGATGTAACGAGATACTTCGCTCATGACAGTTATATAATCCCTGGTGTCGGATAGTTCTCGTGGTTCTTGTACAGTAAGTAATGCATTTTTTAAGCCGCGCGCCCTTTGAGTGAATTGAAAGTTAGAATAGCACAACACTGTTAAGTCGCCACTCTAACATATCTTTAGACATGACAGATCGAGAGGTGGACGAACTTCATCTGGGAATCGAGGGAAGAATTTGTAAGCTCTAGTTGACATAAATGGAACAACTAGTGGACCACGTTGGGTTAGAATACAATAAAAGAAACTAAGCTTGTCATGTCACGGATTAATCGCTTCTGGGTTACGTTACCATGTTAAGATGTGATGAACCTGTCGAAGAACTATGTAAGGAGGTATCCTAGAGAATAGCAGTGCTCATAAATATAAGAAGACTCATCACTGCTGGGAAAAAGCAAAGAAAGATCAAATATTTTAAAGCAAGTCGAAATTTTATATCAGCAATACCACTGCCACTTGCCCTGAAAATTAAAAAGATCTGTTTCAGCTCTAAAGTGTCATTCAGCTCTGCAGGTAAAAGTCTGATTCAGCCCTTCCTGGGGCCATTTGAGCACAATTTAGGCCAAAAAAGCTCAATCAAAAGGCTATTCCAGCCCACGCTAGGACTCATTTCAGCCTTTGGGACCAAATCAGCCCTAGCTAAATGGACTGTATTGGCCCTGATTTAAGGGAGCCAAATTAGACTCAAAAATAGGACTGTATTCTACTCCCCGAAACGGCCCCATTTTTAGGCCTAAAACAGGTCTTTCTGATGTACAGTTTGGGGAATTTGAAAGTGTGGATCAAACTGAAGAGGCGGTGAAAGCAAAAGTAAAGCACGAAGCACTGAATAAACAATTCAAGGAAACATTCGACTCGTTCAAGGAAAGATGGAAGAGGCCTCCATCAAACTCGAGAGCGTAAAGTCACCTACGACGCCGGCTACATCGTCAAAACACCAAGGGGTTATTATTATTATTTTTTTTTTTTTCACTTTTTGGTATTAAAAACGTTTTTCGGAGAGACGAAGGGACTTTAAGATGATTGGTGTAAATTGGATCGAACGAGGGGAGCAGAAGAACTTAATCTCCTTTGTTAGTTTAATTCGCCATTTTATACAGGGCTTAAGAAAGGATTCGACGAACGGGGGATTATTGATGTATTTATTCCTGCAGCCAGCCCTAGCTTAAACCTAAGATCGCATTTTTTAACTACCTTGAAACTTACCTTGCGAAAATGGAGACAAATGTAACGCCCGCGCACTGTAACCTGCAGTCTGGGACCGAATGCCATCAGGAACTAACAGCCATATGCCAATCGCCAAAGGATACTTCACGAGACTTCCTTGATTTCCTTGATTTAAGGCAACAGGTCCTCTTTGCATCTTAAGCTGAACGTGGTGTGGTAAAATTATTTGAACCTTCGCTGGTTCACTCGTAAACTTTCATTTATTTGAAACGTGCTTACGGGATGAGGTTGTAAGTAGTAAACTGCGACAATTGCTTCAAAATACAAATGTCATGGATGAAGAGCTGATAGAACAGATAAGCATTGCGGTTTCGANTTTTTTTTTCACTTTTTGGTATTAAAAACGTTTTTCGGAGAGACGAAGGGACTTTAAGATGATTGGTGTAAATTGGATCGAACGAGGGGAGCAGAAGAACTTAATCTCCTTTGTTAGTTTAATTCGCCATTTTATACAGGGCTTAAGAAAGGATTCGACGAACGGGGGATTATTGATGTATTTATTCCTGCAGCCAGCCCTAGCTTAAACCTAAGATCGCATTTTTTAACTACCTTGAAACTTACCTTGCGAAAATGGAGACAAATGTAACGCCCGCGCACTGTAACCTGCAGTCTGGGACCGAATGCCATCAGGAACTAACAGCCATATGCCAATCGCCAAAGGATACTTCACGAGACTTCCTTGATTTCCTTGATTTAAGGCAACAGGTCCTCTTTGCATCTTAAGCTGAACGTGGTGTGGTAAAATTATTTGAACCTTCGCTGGTTCACTCGTAAACTTTCATTTATTTGAAACGTGCTTACGGGATGAGGTTGTAAGTAGTAAACTGCGACAATTGCTTCAAAATACAAATGTCATGGATGAAGAGCTGATAGAACAGATAAGCATTGCGGTTTCGAAAGAATCTGAGCGACAGTGAAAATTTGGTGCTGCCTATCAGAGAAACTTGCGCCCAGGAGGTCAAATACACTCAAAGAAAACTGGTGCAAAGGAAGAATCAATTCCCGACAGTCATTAATAGCTCATGGTTACAGTGGAGGCCGTTCAATCAGATATTGCTGTCTTGAAACAAGCTTTAAATCCCTGGAGGGAAGATAAAAGCACTAGTGCAGGCGACCGTTTCCAAGTTTGTGAACAGGCGAACCAATAGTTTTGTGAGCGTTGTTTCCAGGGTGGCTCAGATGATCATAATGGTCGGGGATGTTAATTGTAGAGGTTCCACTGATCCTAAGATTCAGAGGGAAAAAAGGTTCTCATGTTTGTTAACGGTGGTTAACGTAATGAGCTTGAGCCCTCCTGATGCCTCACAGGGGAGTGCTGCAAAGACCTTGATCAAATTCATTAGGACATCATGACCAATTGCACTGTGTAGCGTAAAACTAACAATGAGAAACGTGTTAATTCTAAAGAATGAGACAGTGGTAGTGACTTGCGCTGTAAGTACTGGTCCAATTGAATCAAGACCTCCGATGCTGTTGAACCAGACATTAAATGACCTTATCCGAGATAGGTTGGTATCCCAGAAACATCAGTGACTCTCAGAAGTCACTATTAGCTTTTTATCACTTGTGGTATGCGTGCGGATGGTTCTCTAAGACTGCGTCGACTTTTGTGAGCTGCACGAGAGGACAGTACCTGACCGCCATCATCTTCCTGGTGTTCACACAACTGTTGCGAGTTTTGGGAGCAATGAATGGCTGTCACTTTTGGAATAAAGAAAAGCCTATCACTAGGAAAGGTTTCTTGTACATGGAATTAAAATGAAAACAAGATTTGCAATGCAAGTTATTAACAAGGGAAGTCAATTATATGAAGAGAATTGTCTCTACTAATGGTTATCGAAAGGAGAAATCAATCACCCAGGTTGTGTTAGCACTTTAAGACACTAAACCGAGAACTGTGGTTGATGTCAGGATACGCCAGGGCTTGAAAAAATACAACTGAAAGTAGATCAAGAATGTCTTCATGACTGCACAATCTCTCTTCGAACTCCTCAGGACGCTCGGTGTAAAATTGTGTAACCCTATTACAAGGGCAACATGTTCAGAACGGGAACAGGGTGCGAATGCCGTCTAACCATAACATTCTTTGACACAGGAACATCAAATAGTTTTGGAAAGACTCCTACACTGTCTTGTTAAACGTCAACCTTGGGTTTCCCAGACTTTAGTCTGCTATTTGTACAGCACACAAACGCTTCAAAGGAAATAAGAGGGAATGTGCTGTAACAATTAATTTAATTAATGAATTTTAATTAAAAGATTAATTAGAACAATTAATTAGTTTATTTTGAGATCAAAAGTGAAATTTTACAAACTGCTCTACCCGCAAATAGCAGGGCTAATCTAGGCGGATAGAGCACGTCAGAATAATGAAAGTAAAGAATTTGTTACTACAGCAACAATCTAGGGTACCAGTCCAGGACACTTACCCCAAGGGAGATAAACTAGAATTTTTAGCCCTCAAATGAGCAATCTGCAAAGAAGGCAGGGGTTGCTTGTACTACGCGCCATCATTTACTGCGTACACCGGCAATAATCCCCTGGTTTCAATTTCTGTGTTATCTTTTTCTAGGTTGCAGAACTTACGGATTTCAACTTTGACATAAGATATAGAACTTGTAAAGTGGACAAAGACGCTGATACATTGTCAAGAATTTCTCTAAAAATCGCAATACGTGATCAGTACAACTTTGTCTGGCTTAATAACAATTGAGAATGGTGATGCCGTCTGCATAGATTACGAATGAAAGTGGGGCAACAAAAACTATGAACTTTGATTTTCACTTCACTGACTCAAGAAAGACCTCGTGTTGAACTGGCGTCCCAGAAACTAGATACAAGTATTAGCATAGAAATAGAATACAAAAGAGATGGCGGCAAACCGGCTATCCATAAAATCAGTAGGGTATCCCTTACACGAGAAAACTGCTGCGTGAATGGGCAAAGTAGAAGGGTGGAGGTGATGGATTTTAAAGAGAAAGGTGTGAAAAGAAAACTTGCAGTTGGTTCTGCCGTAGCAATTCACTATCTGGCCAATAAAGAGCTATACACCAGGAGATGGTCCTCTCAATTAGGATCGGAGAGAATACTGCAGTTAGCCCCAGAACGTTTTACTGGCCCTACATGCAACGTGACATCACTTTGTTTCTATCCAAGAAGCGCAGCTGCTTAAAGAAGCCCAAATATTTCCACACTTGCCCGTATCTCGTGTATTCTAATGACAGCACCGTTTGAGTTAATATCCATTGACCACCAACACTTGAAAAAAAGCTATGATATGATATGATATGATATAAGAAGAAGAAGAAGAAGAAGAAGAAGAAGTTTTGTTTAACGAAGGTAGAAACATTATTACCGGTTACCTAATAGTTTTCATAATGGCCCTCTACATATAAAAACAAAAGCTATAAGTTAAAAAGAAAAAAAAAAGAAAATAATTCTATTATTTTTTATAAATATTTAAAAAGTTCTGCAAATCTTCAAATGTTCTAACGAGGCGTTGTCGTTGGTGAACTTATCCTGAAGTGTTTTTTTGAACATCGTATGGGAAACTATGTCTCTATACGAGTGGCCTAATTTGTTCCATAGACGACAAGCACTTAAATAAAACGTCCCAAGTCCTGAGGTTTGTTTTACAGGAAGGTGTCAGAACGTTGTTATGGGTGGTACGTCTAATTCTATGACCATGTGAAGAATGGACATGAAATATTCAGGACAGAGATTTTGATTCACTTTGTGTAGCATGAGAAGGTTTCTTACGCGCACGATGTCATCTATTGGCAGCCAAACTAATTTATCAAAGAGTTTTACAGAGCTGTCGTTTATGTGGCATCCAAAATTAATCTCGCACACAGTTTCTGTTGTCTCAAGAGCCTTTCGAGGTTTTCGACAGAGTACTTTCCCCATACGGTACAACAGTATTCTAGAATTGGCTTTACGTGGACATTATAAATCATTTTTCTACATTTAATAGATAAGTGGGTCTTTGCTCTCTTAAGGAGGCATATTCTAGAGTCAGCTTTTAAATAAGGTAATCAATTTGTAAGTCTCATGAGGGGTTGGCATCGATGACGACACCAAGAAGCTTTTCACCTAATAATTCTTCTAGCCTTGCGTTGTCAATGGAAAATTCTAAAGCAGCCTTTTCACAATTACTGGGATTTTTAGCAATACCAATAAGTAGATGCTTGGTCTTTTCAGTGTTAGGTTTCACTTCGTTGAGTTTAAACCACCTGTTAGCTTCTCCTAGATTCCTATTCAGAGTTTGCTGTATTTTAGTATAATTGGTTCCACTTGACCAAATAGTTGTGTCGTCAGCATAGATGTCCACTTCAGTTTCCTTCAAAATAAAAGGGAGATCGTTCATGTAGACAGAGGAGAGAAGATGGCCTAAAATCGAGCCCTGTGGGACGCCTCTGTCTAGGCTTGCTGGACTGGAAAGCACACCATATACTGAGCAGACGTGTTTACATTCGGACAAGTAGGACCTGAACCAGTTAATTGCAGTTGAGCCAGTGTGATACTTGGATAGCTCAGCTATCAGGATATCATGACTCACGAGGTCAAAAGCCTAACTGACGTCAACAATAACTGTTCCTACGAGTTCACTGTTGTCCATAGCCTTAAGCCATATGCCAGTGATGTTTAGTGGTGCAGTTTTGTAGGAATGAAAGGGCCGGTTGGTAGACTGGTTCTTGTAGTGTAGCTTGTTCGTAGTTAGGTGTCGGGGATAGGCTGATGCTACATCTCATTCCAAAGGTTTAAACAAAATAGGCAAGACAGATCTTGGGCGATAATTGCCTCTTTCGTTCGTTGATTTATGTTCTTTGTTTTTGTGAAGTGGTATTACCCTGGCTTCTTTGAATGTCGCAGGAAAGACACCTTGACTGATGCTTGCTTTGTAAATATGCTCAAGACTCGGGGATATTGCTGGTAAAGCCTCCTTTATTACACGAATACTGCAGGGGCACCCAGCGATGGTTTCCTCTTAAATGCATTGAAAACACTTTTTAGGTTATCCAGAGTACTTTTAGGTCTCTAGAAATGGATTCTAAGCGGCGCTATAAAATTTGTATCTGTTCGGTCATCCTAGAGGAACTTGAGTCTTTTTTGAATTACAAGGGCTGGAGTAATATTTTTCTGAAAATTTAGACGAAAATTGAACGTATTACGAAAGTGAGACAATTTCTGATACCAAACGCCATCACATTTTTGAATCCGCAAATTTAAGGTTCCTTTTTTCTTCGAAAAATAGCCTAACATGGGAAGTAAGATGTGAAAATTAAACTTCTGAAATCAGAAAATCGTAGGGAATTTATAAGATAAGCTCCGAAAATTGTAGATGAATGGAACGGTCATCTAGAAATTTTTTAGCTGTCCTCAAGTAATAGAAAATTCTAAGCAATAATTGCTTCTCCGAACAGATATTTTACAGAAAACAGTCGTTGGGTGCCCCTGATACTGATGCCATCAAGTCCGGTTTGTTTGATGGTATTTTTCTCACATCTGCTTCTACAATTTCCCTAATAATAGGCTGAACGGAGAATTAAACTTTATCAGTTATTTGAGTATTGACAAAGTTTAATAGAAGAGCATCAAGCTCAGATTCTGCGGTTACCAGATCTTCTGATGGTTTGGGTGTTACATTCAACGAGGTAAAATATATTTCATTAAAACCATCTGAAATTTTCTCTGGGTCTGTGATGTGTTCATCGGTAACTTTAATAGCGACTGGCGCTTTGGAAGAAGGTTTAGTTGGCACAGTTTGTTTAGCAGTTTCCAAAGATTTCTTGTATTGTGTTGTTTTATTTTCTAGGATTTTATCTTTGAAATACTTTGACTTTGCATTGGAAATCCGTACAACTGCAGTGTTTCTGGCTCTTTGTACATTGTCTTGGCTAGTATGTTATTCTTGGCACGTACTTTAAACTTGTCCCTGACACATATTCGCTGAAGAATGTCTTGAGTCATCTATCCCGGCAGTTGTTTGTTTTTCACCCTACAAGTGACATGTGGTAAGTGATCGTTCATCACATTCATAAACAGGGTATTCCAAATTGTAAGTTTGTCCTCAACATCTGAAGAAGCATCGAGTACTGACCATGGAATAGTATGCAGATCATTAAAGAATTCTTTGTTAGAGAAATTCTTAAAGTAAAGCTTCTGCAGACCGTCACGTCGTGATGATGTTTGAGGTGTTTATCTCTGCTAAATTTACGCGTAAAGCAGGTGGGGTAATGATCACTTAGTCCGTACACAGGAACTAGGAATTCTTTGATTCTGTCCTCGTGTGTAGCGTTATAGGTGATCTAATGACTCACGAGTAGCAGTGTTGACTATATAACTGTCTCAACTAAGCCTGCATCACTACGTATCTTCATTTGCTTGCAGTTATCGTTGGTTGTGTTAAGGACATTTATATCAGCTTTACAATATAATTATGACTCTGCTGTTGAGTTTGGAGTACGATAGAATACAATAAATAATAATTTTGATCCTGCAGTGTGTTGTTGTTTTTTTTTTCTCTAGACACAAACACGCTGGGAAAAAAAGTGGTAAAAATCGGCCAAAAGATTGAGTGGGGGCGTGATAGGCACAAAACATTTTTGGAGTTCTTGGGGCTATAACTTTCTTTCCTTTAAGGGCATGACACTGAAATTAATACAGGCAACAATACTTCACTCCAGGAAAATTTTGGAATAGGCGTTTTGTTGGTAGAGAGTCACGTGACCCTCTAGTGGCCAATTAAAAAATCAAAACTCCCAAAGACTTCTCCTCCAAGAGAATTAAACCTGAAAGTGTGATACTTTGCACAAATATAGTGCACATAAAATTAAAGAACTTGTCCGATTTGGAATCTCAAATTTCATTTTTGTGACGTCACAACTGATGACGTCACAAAATGGACTTTTTGGTCATGCGCAGTACTAACCCAAAAAATGTAGAATTTGAAAGAAAAACTTAAGACAAATAGAAAGTGAAAGTCTCAACTCATTATCTTCTATAGTTTAAGAGATATTTGTGACATTCCACGCATATTTTTAAACAAACTTTGGACACATTTTGTGGCCGATTTTTAGCACTTTTTTTCCCAGCGTGAAATTCAGCATTTCGTTTCCTATATAAGGAGCTGTATCCGTCGACGTACGTGTATAAGCGAGTCCTTAGTGTAAATCGCTCTTCCTCCCTCTTTGGAGACAGTTCTGTCACATCGGGGGTTGTATAGCCGTCGATCGCTAATTTAGGGTCACGCCAAGTGTGATTGCGCCAAGTTGCTATCCTTGCGAACACATCGAACTTGCTGAAGAGCATCAGTGCCATAATTTCTTTGAAATGGCCGGGAAGAGATCGGACCTTTAAATAGCATATTTTCAGACTGTTCTCTTTCAAAATAAAGCATGTATGATCTGTACTCTGTCTAGTTTCTTCATCTGGCCTTGGATTAGGAGAAATGTTACCAGAAAGCTGGAGTCTTGATAACTGAAAATAGGACGACCAGTTTGAATACCTCGCAATTCTTGTCTTGAAGTAGCCATTGAACTTCAGTTTGAATGTAGGAAAATTGCTTTGGGATAGATTTGCCTTACATTGATTAAAGCTGAGCGCTACGTTCGTCCTCGTAGTATTAGATAGTATGTCGGTATGAAATCGAATTGAAAGCATCACCACGTATGAAAAAAAAAAGGGAGCCTGTGAAAAAGCGTCCTCAGTCCCCATGATATGCAAATGACATGTATGATATGATATGATATGATATAATATGATATGATATCATGTGACATGACATGATATGACGTGATATCATATCATATCAAGAGATATGATGTGATATGATATAATATGATATGATATTGCTTTGCATTTCCAGCTCGCATCTTACACGACGTGTTAAAAACAAGTTTGAGAACAAACTGTTTCTTCTATAACACCACTGGAATGGAATGGTCCGTTCCAAACCTATACCATACCATCCATAGTACACTGGAAAGGACTAGACAATTAACAAGACCCTTCTGGTATTGCCAAGAACTCTACCCGAAGAACAGTATGGTAACACATAAACATGCAAAAGGCGCGAATCAACAGCCTGCTCTCCATTGCTTCTTTTGTTGGGACGAACACCACTTTTACTCGTTGACATTCGTCACCAGGGTCAGTGAAGGACAGTCACACCGTTTATGTCAAGGAAATGCAAAGCTGTTCCTCGTGTTCCGTTGGAAGCAGAAAAGGGTCGCTCTTTAGCTCTCAAGGAAAATTCATTTCAAAACCTTAAAACCTGGGGAAATAGTATTTGTGAGGAATCTTTCGGATCGTGGGGGGCCGGGTAAACGTCAGGCATACTGGGAAGAACAGATTCACGTGATGGTGGAAAGGGGAGAGCCCGTCTACGAGGTATATCCGGCGGGAAACGACCGCGAGAAGCGTGTTCTTCACAAAAATCTGCTCTTACCATATGCATTTCTCCCCATAACGCAAACAGCAGAACAGTCGGGCGGGTTACAGAACTTGGAGCACTGCCAAGATTTCAGTGAAAGCGCACAGAGTATCACAGATCAGCAGTGACAGCAAAAGCGATTATTCTAAAATCCCAACCTGCTAACCAAAGCCGGCTGAGTGGCCTGACCAATTTCTACTACGGAAGGCCATGTACAGTTTAACTCTGTTGATTTTGATGACAACGAATCAAAAGGGTCCCAGCACTGTGATTTCACCATTTGGCAGCAACAAGGTCCAACATTTCTCAGGAGATGCTATCTGAGGAAAGCAAATACAGACCACGAGCTGCAATAGCAACCACACCTACTAAAAGAGCATCATCACGGCCACAATTGAAACCAGAACCCGAACCACAGTCGAAATAACAACGCTTTAATACAATATGTTCGACACTTACCATTGATGTTTACATGCCACAGATTAGGACAGCCAGCTATTTGTAATACCCAGGCCGTTGTGAACCCTAACACTGGCTGGTATTACCCACCTCATCCGCAAGAGATGATCCCAACGTACCCTTTTTGCCCACCACCGTCTTATGGTTCTTCGGCACAATGGCCTATGCAGATGATGCCAGTGTAACATGTGGATTTATGAACTATTTTCATCGATCTTGTTTTAAACATGCAAAAAATAATATATAGATTTAGCCAGGACTAAAAGCGAAGCTCTCGGTAATATTTATAGTTTTCCCAAACTAAATATAAAATCGTGTAAAGCTAAGGGGCGAAGGCAACTAGAACTGTGAAAAAACAACAATAGGTCTCATAAGCACAAAAAAAACAACTTTGCCCATGCAGAACACTTCTTTTTTTTGTACATTTCTCTGCCGTTGTTTTGCACGACTACAACGTGAAACGTCCAGAAACTTCCTGGCTACGCATTTTATTGAAGAAATGTTGTACATGTTCTTGCTCACTTTTTCACTGCCGCTCATTTTTTCTTTGGTGACCGCTAGCATTTTCTCATTTTCTCACCGCCGCTACAAATTCATGTTGCTCTACCAACAAAAAATGGCTCCTTATCTCTCGCTCTTGCTCTCCGTCGCTCTTTTTCTCGTTGAGCCTCGCTGGCCCTTCGCCTATTTTCTCTTTTTCTCTGTCTTTCTGTTTCTCTATATTCCAAATTTGTGGACATGACAATTAATCTAAGCTTAATACTTTAGACAACATGGATACAGAAACAATTTCCGCTTTCCGTTTTCGTCTTTATTGACTCTTTAGTTGTCTCAGCCTCACAAGACGCGGATGGCTATGCGATTTCAAGCCAAAACAAGATTGAGTTGCATTTGGGTTGCCACACCTGTTAAGTGAGTTATTTTACATTGGTATGCCTGTGGTGCGGACTCACGGCGGGCGGACAAGCGGACGGGCGTACGATCACGTGATTACCAAAAATTCTTGAGTGGGTAGATTACCACATTTTGCTAGGTATGGGGCTACGTTCGCGCGCGTGCCGAGCTCCGCTATGAAAATATGTATCGGACGACATTTCTTTAAAGTCGGGAAATGTGTGAGATAACGTAATTGCTAATCAAGTGACAGTGAAAAACTTTGTGCGGGCTGTGAGGTTTTTTCCTAGGCAAGTTGATTATAAAAGTCGAATGTCTAGGGATAAAGAAAGCAAAAGAAGTCTGTCTCAGTGGAAATTACTTTTTTCGACTCTTGTAACATATTCCTTATGACTTATTACTAAAATGAGGTCAGTCCTAAAATAGGTTTCCACAAATCGTTTCCTGGTAGTACTTACAATGTACCGAGACCACTGAAATGCACGAAAGTGCCATCAGGTATGCTAAAAAGTTCATTCGTAGACAGGTCTCTGTTAGAAAAGGAACAGCAAAAATAGTAATGATTAAAATGTTCCAGAGAAAAAATGAATGAAAATTTTGATTTCTCGAGTTCAACTTCTATTCCACCCTTCAATAAAGACTAATTTACTTGTGCAACGTAAGCATAAAAACAAGTAAAAGACGCTGACGCGTTAACTTCTTTTAAAACACCTTACAAATGATCAGGACGACGCTACTAAGCCGACAGTGTTTGTTGCTTGTGCCTATAAATCCCGTCTACGTTTCGCTGGTCTTGCATCTCTCACTGCGAGCCGCAAGATGATGGCCGCCGTTATTCGAAGACAAGGTCGACTAAAGACAGTCGTTAGTGAAATTTTCGATGGTAGTTTTTTTTCTGGCCGATGCGAGTCTTAAATATATGTGACAGTTATGATAGGAGTGTCAGGTGAAAAAATAGGTCCGCCCTATAGGCATACATGTGGTGAGTGTGCAATAGTCGAGTGGCAAAAAGAACTTTATTACTTAAAAGGTTAGGTCGTCCTCGGTTGGGATGATCCAGTTTTGGTTTATTTGCTTGAAGTGCAGAATATAAATTATCTTTCTGTTGTGGTTCGTTGCTCATTTCTTATGTTGCTGGGTAACCCGTGGTCAAGGTAATAAACAGTTTTAAGAGGGTTTCGATGATATAACCGTTAGCCATAAAACAGCCAAAAATCTTACTCGTTAGGGGTAAAAAATGGAAGTTTTCAATCGTGCACTAGTCGCCAATAATGCTTTTTACGCGTGTCAATTGCGTGTCTTGTCTCGTTGTTAATGGACTCTATTTCGATCAGCCTTTTTTTTTTTCCTACCCCGGAAAGATCGTTAGAGGCTCAAACCGATGTAAACTATTGAACTTTTTTAAAACAACAGATTTTTCTTTTTTAAATTTCTGTTAAACGTCACGGAGAGAAAAATAGAGAGGAAGAGGGAGGGCTAGAGGTGATCTTGTTGTTTTCACTTTTCTCAGACAGGTCGAGCTCAGACTGGCGAGAGAGCTAGATCCCAGGGTATCTCATATCTTTGTTACTTATTATAAGGCTAAAACGTGTCACCGATAAGTTCCAAAATCTGTTTATATACTTAAATAACATGTATCCTTTCCAACTAGCATTTTTAATCGAAACGTTCATGATCAGGCAAGCAAGGGTCCCACTTATCCAGTCCCTGAGATAAAAGGCTATTAAAATTAACGTGAAGATGTAATTTAACGAAGAGATGTTAATTGTCGATAAAAGGATTTGTCTTTTCCCGCCTAATAGGGTCGCACTACCATATTTCCTTAAGATAAATCGGCAAAGAGAACGGGCTTCATTTGATTAAGCCGTGATATATAGTATATCGAAGCACTATCTTCCCCACTGCATATGCATAAATACATACATATGTCCTTAATTCGGCCCAGGAGGGCTTTTCAGAATAAAGGTAAAATTAATAGTTAATGTCTAATACAAGCAGAGCCTATGAACAAGAAAAGTTGGTGACTGAAACTATTAAAAACTGTGTGCATTGATAACTTGGTAAAAATGAGTGAATAATGTCCTAGTCACTTAAAAAAATTGAGATTAAGTTTTTCTTTAGACAACGCTTAAATTCCTTTAAGGTCGGTTTGAACTTAAGAGCAGGGTCCAGTGAGTTCCAAAGTTTAATGTTCTGAAATAGAAGGTTCTTTGTCCTGTGGCGGTTTTGCGCAGCTTCGATCCTATTCAAGTTGTGCTCTGAGGTGCTGCTCCAGACATTTACAACAGTAACATAGCTTGCTGAAAACTAAGGAGTGATAAACTCGGTGGATCTTTCCTAACCATGCCATGCAGCTGGACACCGTCGAAGCAACGTGATCTCCGAGGAAAAAGGATAAAACGTTCGGACCTCCGGGTATTTAAGCTTGGTGTCACGAAATTGGTTGGCAGCTTTATCAAATGTAAAACCGTTGTTTTAGCTCTGAGTCACTGTGAGTCACCGTAAGTCAGGGCCACCCGGTCCTCCTATGATATTAATTTTTTACTTTATTCATCTGTCAGTTGCCTAACTCATCTCCAGATGGTGATTTCTGCTTTTGTGATATAAGTGTACAGTTTCAAGGTGACTGTGTGAGCAGGGGCCATTCAGCCACCTCACTGATTTTCACTTGAATCAGTTACATCAATGAGTTATTTCAGACTTTTGATAAGTTTCAGGGTGACTGTGTGTGAGCAAGGGCCATACAGTCATCTCACAGATTTTCTAATTTAATCAGTTCATTACGTCACTGAGCTATGACAAGACCTTGTTATAACTTAAATTTAAGGTAAGTGTGTAGGCAGGGGCCATAGAGCCATCTCAACGATTTTCACATTTAATCAGTTCTATTACGGGTCCATGCAGTTGTTTGAATGCCAAAAATCGCTAATCCAGGATTAAACTTTAATTCGGATTATTTTTTCTTTCGTTCAAACATATTTTCACTGTCAATTATTAATTGTTAGTTGTTAAGAGTGTCCACTCATCAAATTGTAGGCAAAAAGAATTTACATTTGTACAGGCATTTGCTTGGTAAGCATTCAGATGTTAATTTAATTTTGTGCTTATCCTTTTTTATCTTAGTCCTGCCTCAAACAACTCATAGCTATGGCAATTCAGACCTTATGATAATTATATTCCAATATGACTGTGTGTAAAGGGGCCACACAGCCATCTCATTGATTTAACCTTGTACATTTCCTTTGAAAACATTGATCCATCTTCATAGATAGGGTTTAGTCCTAAGTATAATCCCAGGTGACTGTGTTAACAAGAGCATGTTGCCATCTCATTTATTCGACCTCGTGCACTGTAAATTCCTTTTGTAAACATTGATCAATCTTCATAACTAGGCAGGTTGACTAAGATTTTGTGCCAAGTATAATCCAAGCTGACCATGTTAGCAGGGGCCATCCTGCCATTTCTTTCATTCGAACTTGACCGAACTTGTACTTTCTTTTTGAAAACATTGATCCATTTTGGTAACTAGGATTTAGTGCTAAGTCTAATCCAACGTGACTGTGTGAGCAAGGGCCATACAGCCACCTCATTCGTTGATTTGCCCTTGTACATCCTTCTTGGTAACACTGATCCATCTTGGTAACTAGGATTTTGTGTAAATCTTATCAAATGTGACTGTCTGAGCATGCAGAGGCTTGATTTCATCACTTTACTCTAGTGACTCAGAGTTGGTGTTTGGTAAAATGTATTGTGGCTGTGAAAGCAGGGCTCCTTCAATAGTATTTGTACATTTTGGTTTCAGAGTACTAAGGTTTTCTATTGGCGGTTCTCTTGCTTTGGCCTGTGGTGGGGCAGCCCTGTCACTCGTTCCTTGCTCCGGGCTGTGGCGGGTATGCCCTAACCTTTGCTGGGATAATCTTCTTGTGTATCCGGATTTCCCTAGCTTTATATGTTTAAATTAAATAAACGGCCACTTTTGTGGCCAAATTTATCCCAAACTCGAATTGTCATTATCTGGTATCCCAGCAAACAGAGCTCACCCAAGCGATACTCCAAAAGCAATAACTGACTCAATAATTACTATCTAAAGGAACGAGAAGCATAAATATCGATTGGTTACACAAGTTGGTTTACCTTCTCAAAATTACTTCATGTAATGCGTCACGAAACAACGACTGAAGGGAAAGGTCTGCGCATAACGAAATATCTGAAGACTGTATGAAGAACTCATCGAGCCCTCCCCCGCTATTCCATCGCAGCGGGTATGCATATATTATATGCACACCCGCCACAAGTCGCTCGTCTCTTTCGGTCTGCATGTTATAACAAAATTGATCGATATTTTGGGGGCGTTCTTAATAAAACAATTATTACACTCGCGTTTGTTGGATATGAGATAATTATAGTCAACTCATATCCGACGCCCGTACGCAGAATAATTGTTAAATATAGACTATAGAAAAGAGGCCAAAATTTTCAACTTTTGACCTGCATTTCTGATGGACTTTTTTTGCAAAATCGCGTGCAAGAGACAGACCAAAAGAAATTTTGCCATCATTTTAATGTCCAAATATCGACGCAAATAAGTCGAAATATACTTTGAAATCAAAGATCGATGAGACAAATATAACTAAACTTAGAGTTAAATCAAATTTCTTTGTAAAATGCAGACGAGTCAAATACTAATTTACCAAACAAAATCAAACAGTTTATGCCATCAGACAGTGTGCAGTCGGCCAGTAACCTTCCAGAATTCTACGCAAGAAATGTAATCAATAAATACAGATAGTGTATGCTTGTGCAAATAACCCGTTTATGATTTTTATAAAGTGAGAGTCAACTTACAAAGTTGAAAGCTTGTATCCTGGACCCTCCAATAAATCTGCACTTACCGTTTTTAACTTATTACATCGCAAATCGCTGCAAAATGATAAAATTGAAATGCATTAATGTATGTCTTGTAAAAACTTAAGAGCATTAATAGATAAGTAAATAAAAGCTTTATAAAACACTAATGCGAAGATAACGTCATTTGCAAGGATAACAGCGATGGAAGAAGAAATTGTCAGGCGCACGATTCATTGCCTTCCAGTTTTCATGTAAAACACCTTATATAGAAAACAAACAGAATAAATTGCAGTGGAAGGAAAAAAACCCTCACTTTAAGTCAAGGACTTTCAAAAGACAAACTTGCCAATAGCGGACTTGATACTTCTGGGCTCATAAAACAGTAAGGAATATCTCTGAATTTGAGGATCTTCAAAGGAGGGCTTCCAAATAAGTTTTTAATTTGGACTGGAAAGAATCCTACTAAACTGAACCTACAGCTTATTTCTTACATGTATCTCCTCGAAATTAACGATGTTTACTTCAAATGGCCATCAGGTCATTACAATTCAGCAGAAGAATATCTCTAACTAAAGTCTAATGTAGTCCTCTGTGCCCGCTAGTCCGAAATTATTTCAGTCAGTGACTAAATCATAGGGATACCTCCTTCTTACGAGTCTTTGCCTTTCTGAGGTCTCCTTTGATCTTAACTGTATTACGTGCATTACGTATCTCATCTTTTAAATTGTATTACAATTCGAGATTAAGGTATGTTGTATTTTAATTATGGTATCACGATGAGTTTATCCTAAACTGAGGGGCTGTTTACATGGAGGGAGGAAGATCCTAGTACCAGGAAGATCCTAGAAGGCGGATCATCCTAGCGTTATATGTTTTCTGTATTCAGTTAACATGCAAAGGGTTGTACTTGTCCCTAGCGCTAGGATCTTCCTAGTACTAGGATCTTCCTGGCTGAGAGGTAGGAAGATCCTAGCACCGTGTAAACTGCTTTCGCTAGGAAGATCCTAGTACTAGGGACAAGCGACAAAAATGTCGGCGGGTCGTTCAGTGGCTAATTACGGCAATAAAGGCCGACCATTTCGTTTGGAGTAATCCACGAGCTGATTATTGTGTTAATTCACCTGAAAGGTAGTGGTTTACGCCAGTAAAGAGAGCAGTAGGACCCAAATTGCATTTTTGATTTTGTCGTCCGCCATTTTTAATTCCTTCTCTAACCTCTACTTGGACAACTCACGGGCCGAAATTTCTGCATGTAAACCCAACGTAAAGTTATTCCATCTTCTAGGATCTTCCTGGTACCAGGATTTTCCTCCCTCCATGTAAACACCCCCTGATCGTAATGATGAAGTGGTGGTGGCCAGAAAAATAAATAAATAATTCTCGTTTTGTTTTTATTTTTCTTCAAACAATGCAGCCCAGGTGCGATTACATGGTTAGAGGTATCTTTGACGGATGTGACATCCTGCTGTCCTGCTTAAAACTTACAGAATTTTCAGATTTTTCATGGCTCGGAAGGTTCCACTTTGGATGTACTTCAGGCTGCAATTGGAGATATATCTGAAACATAGTCAGTAGCAAAGGGGATCACTTTCACCGGTAGCAAATCAGCGTTGAATATTTTGTACCATTTTGACATAAATGGACCAATCAGCATGTCAATCTTTTTCTTTTACTACCATAGTTTATCAGACCTGTTAAGGTGTCGAACTTCTCACTAGGTTTGGCTAATTTGAAGTTCAACTTGTACTTGAACAGAACTCAAATTGTTTTGTTGAGTTTACCTCTTTGACATTTAACTGCAATCTTAGATTAGCTGTATTTTAATTCATAACTTGTTATTCAATCGTCGTGTTATGTTTATGTAGACACGCCCACAGAAACAATAAACTAGCACCTCCAGGACTACCACCAGAAGAAGGATGAGTGATTTATTTTAGCAGGTTTTTGTTATAAAAGGTTGGATATTTTGTTTACTAATCTTTCAGTCTTTGATTACTGTTGTGATGATTCGTCTTTGACCAATGCACTTTACTGTCTCTAGTGTGAACATTTTGCAAAAACAACATTTCGATTACGGCCGGTATCAGATTTTGTTTTAACCCTCGGACGTACAAAGGGGGGGGGGCGGATGCCCCCCCCCCCCCCCCCCCCCCCCCCCAAATTGTTTGTTTTGTTTTTTTTTATTTTATTTTTTTTTATTGATTGTGTATGTTTTTTTTTTTTTTTTTTTTATTTTTTTTTTTTTTTTTATATTTTTTTTTTTTTACAAAGTATGTTTATTTTTCTTTGGGGAGAATTTTATAAAAAAAATAAGTTGTTGAACGGAGGATACTGAGTTTTTTTTAACCCCCGGCAGAGTAAGGGGGGGGGGGGGGGGTGGGTCCCCCCCCCCCCCCACCCCGAAGGTTTTTTTGAGTTTTTTCCTAGAGGATTAGAGGATAAAACATCAGCACCTGACGTTTTCAGCAGCTGTTTGTTCATCCCTCGCGCACATTTTGAGACAAGTTCAGTGACGATCAGTTGCTATGGTTACGAGATATGACGTCATAAGTAGCAGGTGGTCAAGCCATAGTAGATAAACAGCTACTTTTCTACTACATAATCTGGAAAATTATTTGCCTATTATATTGTTTTTGCTTAGCAATGCTTCAGTTTTTTTGCCATTTTGATGTGGATCAATGACAATGGCATTTTTAGACCCTTAAGTTTTTTCTTTTAAATTGCTGCTAACAACTTACAGCTCTCTCATCATTTGAAGACCGACAAAAGTATCAGCTGTCAAGTTCGGCCCTATTGGATTTCCAAATAAATTTCTGCAAAGTTAAATGTAACTACAGTGAATATAATCTCTGAAATTTCACATATTTTCAATGTGGGAGAAAACATCTTGGTTCAACAGGTGACGTGCAAGGTAATCGGTGTTCCCTAGGCAACCCTGCAGTTGCAAAAAGAAAGCCTGAAATAAAAATCCGGGCTTGAAAGGGATTTGAAACCTTGACTTCTGCGATACCATTGCAATGGCGTTATCTACCGAGTTATATATGAAATTTCGTAGATTCACTTTTATAATGTGAAGGTAAAGATATTATCTTTACCTTCCGACGGGTAATTCACGAACCCACAAGCAGGGTGTCCAGTGGCATGATTGCTCAAGAAAATAGGAAAATAGGAAACGCAGGATTGAGAAAATAGGAAAAATAGGAAACTTTGTATTAAAAAAATAGGAGAAAAATAGGAAAATCAATTGTACTTTCGTCGACAAAGATAGCCTCCCTGCATGTCATCAGGGTTATAATAAAGGCTACGAGTCCTCAGCTTGTACGTTCGCAGCATTTAAATCAACTTTCGTGGCTTAGAAGCTGTTAAAATGATCAGTAACGTTTAGTTCATTGGCTCAGTTACGCTGTAGTAAGAATGATACGCTTGACTACAGGTCGAGCGTGGTTATATAATCAAAGCTGATCATATGCAAGTTCCCTTCAAGTTGGTGGGCAATCTTTGAAAAGCTTCGAAAAATGAAATTTCTCAGGATAGAAATTTCTTACAATTGCGTTGTCATTGAACGATATCAAACTAGGACTAAAAAGTCCTACTGAGAGCTTTCCTTTCATTAATCTGCAATCGGTTGCTGGTTGAGAATATGCTTGTTTGAGTCAAAAGACCGCATAGTTTTAAGTACGGAACCACGCTTTCCGCGGTGTACGCAAAATGACACTGATCTACTTGGTACCAGATTGTAAGTGTGTCATGTGTTCTAAGAAGAACGTTACTCTCTGCTTAGCTATGACTGCAAGACCGGTTTTGCAACCAAAATATTGGATCCTTCGTCAGCTGCTTAGGTACACCTGTTAACAAGGGTCACCAAGAGAGGTAGTGCCGTAAACTAAAATTGAGCCTGTTCTTTTCATGTAGCATCCAGAATCCAGCTAGTGATTGTTTTTTTTTTTTTAAACAAGAAGCTGATTGGTGATTTATCTCACCTGTGTTATGAGAGGACAACTTGATCCTGTTTTCAGTTTCGAAGATGAACATAAAAGCGAGCAAGACTTTAAAATAAAATATAACGTGTACAGATACTGTAACGCAGTTTTAGTGAGTTATGCACGATATTCGATATTGTTCAGTAGTCATGAGAACTACAACACTACATACAATACATGTGGTTGCACTAGAAAATTATGCAAAAAGTAACACTATACCAATTGCTAATAGAACTCTACATTGTAATAAGCAATAGAGGTCCTGGAAAGAACAAATTGATGCAACTATTATTTTTGCTAATATTAGAACATCAAAGTCAACATACTACTTGCTTTATGGTAAATCTCACTCCAAAACAGATACAAATATAATAATTTATGTTCCGTTTTCGATTTTGTTATAAATTTTTTCCTTCACCAGCTAAAAAAATAGGAAAAATAGGAGGTTTTAGTTTAAAAATAGGAGAAAATAGCAATAGGCCAAAAAAATTGGAAAAAATAGGAACAGGACACCCTGCATAAGGTGACCAGTTCGAGAGTTCCGTGTAGGATCTATAGCTTAGCTGATAAAAGCAATGCACCAGCTAAAAGGCAGCTTTGTAGCTCAAAGGTCATAGGTCCGAATTCCGTTTCCTTTGAACCCAACTACTTAAGTTGTGTACACAACTGCAATGGTTTCCCACATAACTGATTGCTTATATTTACTGCGATGGTGTATGATCAGAACTAAAAAGAAAAAAAAAATTAGGACAATCAGATGTCGACCTTGATTGATTTAGCTATGACTATTAAATTCCTAAAAATGCTACTCCACTATTTTTAGTCAAAAATGGCCGTAGGGATAATTTCTGTCGAAGCATTAAATTTGGCACAGAGAGAGATAATCTCTACCCGGTCAATTCCATCCAATTCCTAAGACTGTAATATACATCGAAACAGCCAGGTGACCCATACTTACAAGAAGTTGACCCGTTTGGAATTTGAAAGAATTGTTTTCAAGGCTCCTACGGATAGCCTATTGTCGTTTATCGTGCTGAAAAGAAAGCAAATACATGTCGTTTCAGTTACAGAACACCTTTTTATAGCGGAGCTCC